CTCATAATTAGGATTCCTATATAAGATTAGGGAGGATAAAAGTACATTTCGGCAAAAACTGGAAACCATTTGCTTATAATTTCTCATTCTGAATAGAAAAATATAACTCAAGTTAATTCTCTTCATTGAAATAAGAAAATGCTCAATTAAAGAACCAAAATCATTTCCATTAAAGATATAAGTTTCTCTAATATGGTAAAGTTTGAGAATCTTCTACTATATGAAGACATATAGTTTTTTGGTTAAATAGTAAACTAATGTGAACTTTTAACTCGAAAAGAGACAAGATTAAAAGAGCATTACCCCAAGACCTGAAATTCTCAATGTTTTTTACCAACAGAAATAGTAAGCAGGCTTTGAAGTTTTGGGTGGAAAAAAGCCTCTTCCTTAAAAAGGAAATTAAAGTTTTCTAAGTAAATACTTACTCCATTCAAATTACTGGTATGTTCCACCTTACTTGGACCTTGTTTCCCATCTGGACAAATAGACCATTTTTCAATTAGCTCCATAAGCTGGAAACCAGCAGTCATCTAGAATTTTCTTTTGTTCTTTCCTACATATGCAATGCATTAACAATTCATTCATTTATAGTAAATTAACAACTGTGACTGTTTCCTTCAGCTGCTGCCTTGTGCCTTTTCTTCCTTCACCAATCTCCCTGCAGACTGGTCCTCCTCACCAGCTTCATTTCCTCACCTCTTGCACACCCCAACTCCCTCCAAGCTAACTTGTGGCCTGATTACTTCACAGAAATAGCTTTTAGTAACATCACCAGTGACACCACATCATTAAACCAGTGGACCTTGCTCATCGCTCCTCTTACTGGACCTTAACCTGTTTTCCATGCTCTTGGCCCCTTCCTCCTTCTGAAAGCATTCCCTTAGTTTCCCTGACTTTGCACTCTTCTGCTTTTTCTCCTGCCTCTCAGGTTACTCCTGTGTTTCCCTAAATGGTCATTCTCCAGCGGGGCTATTAAGTACTAGATCTCTTCAAGGTTTGATCTCAGTCCTCCTTCTTTTCTATTTTTAACTCTTTCTAGACTAATAGCTCTTAAAGTGTGTTCCACAGATCTCTTAGTGGGCCTTGAAAGTCAGAACTATTTTTGCAAGAATACTGAAATACTAAATCTCAATATTGTGGGCACAAAAGCAATGGTTCATAAAACTGCTGGCAGCTAGTATGAATCAAGGCATTGGCACCAAACTGTACTAATACTCATTGTATTCTTCTCCCTCGTGCTCTTATAGAAAAAACATCAGCTGCATTTAAGAATGTGGTTGATGAATTAGTAAAGAATATTAAATTTTATTAAACCTTATATCTTGAATACGTCTTTTTCCATATAGGTATCAGCTATTCTAGCACTATTATTTCTCCATTGAATTAATTTGGCACTGTAGTGGAAAAACAATTGACCATATAATTATGGGTTTACTTCTAGATTCTCAAGTTTGTTCCATTGATTTCTTTGTCTTTTCTTTTGCCAATAACATAATCACCACAGCTTTCTAGTTATTTTTAAATCAGGTAGTGTAAATCCTCCAACTTTGCTCATCTTTTTAAAACTTATTTTGTATATTCCAAGTCCTTTTGCTTTTCCACATAAATTTTAGAGTCAGCTTGTCAATATCTACAGAAAAGCCTGCTGCAATTTTGATTGGGATTGCCCTGAATCCACAGATTGATGGGTATAAATATCATCTTCCAATCCATGAACATGGTATATTTTCCAATTCATTTGGGTTTTCTTTAATTTCTTTAATTTCCCTCAACAATTTTTTGAAGTTTTCAGCGTACAGATATTATATACCATCTATAAATTTATTCCTAAATATGTTTTTGGATGCTAATATAAAGAGAATTGCCATGTGAATTTATTTATTGGATTGTTCAATGTTACTACAGAGAAATACAATTGATTTGTATATTGATCCTGTATCATGTGACCTTGCTAAATTCACTAATTCTAGTAGCATTTTGTATTTTTTAAAAGGATTTTCTATATACATAATCATGTCATCTGCAAATAAAGACAGTCTCATTTTTTCCTTTCTTACACTTATGTTTAAAAACATTTTCTTTCCTTATTGTACTGATTAGGATCTTTAACATGATATTGAATAAAAGTGGTGAGAGTGGAAATCCTTTCCACGTTTCTGATCTTAGGCAGAAACAATTCAGTCTTTCACCATTAAGTATGATGTTGGCTGTAGGTTTTTGAAGATGTTCTTTAAGAGATTAAGAAAGTCTCTTTCTAATCTTAGTTTGCTAAGAATGTTAGATTTTTGTGAAATGTTTTTTCTGCATCTATTAAGATGGTCACATGGTTTCTACTTTCATCTTGTGCAAACAATAGCAAATGTGAATCAACTGGTTTAAACCCTAATGAACTTTTTATCTCATTAAAAAAAACCCAATGAGAGGAGTGGCTAACTCCCTTTTGTGGCTAAAAGATGGCTCCATTAATGCTGCTTTTGCACTGAAATTGTTGCAATATATTTTTTGATTAAAATATTAGAGGAAAATCTAGACTCAAACACAAGAATTCCATTCTCCTTATCAGTGGTAGGAATAGGAAGATGCAGCAGACTGGCTGCATGCTAACCAATCCCAGCTCCTCTTCTTGGGCACAGTCTAAGATTACATTTCCCAGGTTTGGTTATGCTGTTAGGTTAGGTGGGGGACTAGTTTTGGCCAATGGATGGAATGTGGGCAGAAATAATGCTTGTCATCTTACAGCCAGGTCCTAAAATTTCAAGTGAGATCCTTAAGTCACTCTCTTGTACCCACCCATGAGGCTGAAAGAAAAGGACTCCCAGATGGTGGGAGCAGGTGAAGAAAGATATTAGGTTCCCAACTCACGTGAAACTGTGAGGTGAGTGGGAAATAAATCTTTCTTTTGTTAAGCCACTTGGATACTGAGATTGTTATAGCATATAACATTAATTACCATGACTGAAACAGAGGGGAATTCTGCTGTGGGGCTTCTGGTACACCTGTGCAGCTTACAAGGAGACCCAATGAAGAGAAAGTCCCTTTTGGGCTCTGGACAGTAATGAATCTAGCCATCTTTCAACACAGAAGGGAGCCAGCCTGTGTAGTACAGAAGGCAGAGTAAAAATGTGGAAAGAAACTGGAGACTTGATAATGTCAAAGAACTGCTGAGTTAACCACCTTCTCACTGGACTTTATGTGAGATATTAGTTCATTACAATTTAAGACCATGGATTCACATTTTCTGGTGTTTGCATTCAAACACGTCTTAGTTGATACAGTAACAAATTGAAAATCAATTTTCCATCAGCCTGTTCCTCTTCTAGTGTTTCCCATTTTGGTAAATGGTGACATCATCCAAAAAGTTATGTCAGTCAGAAACCTGAGTCAACCCTGACACTTCCCTGTATCTTACTACAGTCCCCTTTGTATCTGACCCATTCCCCCTGCTGCCGAATCCTTCTATTTCATCACCACCACACTGATCAGAACCAACACACCATCTATCCGCTAAACTACCTAGTAACCTCCTAACTGGTCCACCTGCTTTCCTCTGGCTCACCTCTATTTTTTCTCTACTCTGTAGCCAAGGTAGAGATTTTCAAAATTTAAGTCTGGTCATATCATCTCTCTTCTCCCTCTATCCTTCTCTGATTAAAAAAAAATACTTTAAGGACTTCATTTTCTCATTGCTTTTATGATAGACATGTAACATCTCACAAAGCCTTGGAGGTCTGATCTGCCCCACTGGTCACAACTTGCAATGAAATCCCACCACACTGGAGTTTCTACTGGCTTCCTCATTCATTTTTTTAAATTTTATTAAGGTATTATTGATATACACTCTTATGAAGGTTTCACATGAAAAACAATCTGGTTACTACATTCACCCATATGATTGAGTTCTGCCCTCCCCCCCATACTCTATTGCAGTCACTGTCCCTCAGTGTAATAAGATGCCACAGAATCACTACTTATCATCTCTGTGCTACACTGTTTTCCCCGTGAGCCCCCCAACACCATGTGTACTAATCATAATACCCCTCAATCCCCATCTCCCTCCCTCCCCACCTACCCTCACCCACCCCTCCCCTTTGGTAACCACTAGTCCTTTCTTGGAGTTTGTGAGTCTGCTTCTGTTTTGTTCCTTCAGTTTTGCTTTGTGGCTTTACTCCACAAATGAGGGAATCATTTGGTACTTGTCTTTCTCTGCCTGGCTTATTTCACTGAGTGTAATACCCTCCAGCTCCACTGACAGATGAATGGATAAAGAAAACAGCATTTATACACAATGGAATATTATTCAGCCATGAAAAGAGAAATCCTATTTGTGACAACATTGATGGCTCTATGCTAAGTGAAATTAAGTCGAAGACAAATATTGTATGATTTCACTTATATATGTGGAATCTTAAAAGAACCAAGCTCAAGATACAGAGAACAGAGTGGTGGTTGCTGAGGAAGAGGGTGGGAAAAATGGATGGAGTCAAATGTTCAAACTTTCGGTTAAAAGACAAATAGGTCCTAGGGATGTAATGTACAGTGTGGTGATTATAGTTAATACTGTATTGTATATTTGAAAGTTACTGAGAGAGTAAATCCTAACAATTCTCATCACAAGGAAAAAAATTATAACTGTGAGATGATGGATGTTAACCACAACAAACTGGAATCATATACTGTGTACTGGGCCTTTTAACAGAGCAACTGAGATCAAATGAGGGAAATTTTCAAATCTCCATGGAGAACTCTTCTGATGAGGCAAACAGGCGGATGGTGGAGCCGTTCTAGGGGCCCCTCTCAGACAATGACATACATTCAAAACTCCTTCCCTTTGCCCTGGCTGTCTCCCTATTACTTCAAGGCTATTGGGGGTAATGTGGTAGATTCCTCTTTTAGGTCTTGTCTTTAATATACACATATAGTCAAAGCAATATCCTTTAGCAAGCAAACATCTAGGAATAGGTCATCAAGTATTTTTTAAAAGATTTTGTATGACAAAAGACTTTCAATTAAAAAGTTATTTATTAAAAAACACTTTCTCCCAGTTCTGATTCCATATCAAATTAAACAAGGAGTGATGTTACAAAGCAGCAACTGATCAAATTCATTTATATAGAGGATGACAGTGACCTCATTATCTCATTACTATATTCTACTAAATAGAGGAATACAAGTTCAACTCATTTACTTCTTCACAAAAGTTAAACATAATGGGTATACTTGAAACCAAACAATTGTATAAAGTTTGTCTTCATAGTTGACTTAAAGATGCAGCTGATATAAAATGATACTGGCTTATTAAAAGAGAATCCAAGCAATGTTTTGGATTTCCATTTTTGCAAAATTCAAGGAAAACATGATTGTTTGGAAATTTCTGCATTGTTCACGAAGAATTCACCTGAGATTCCTTTGTGTTTCCACTCTTCTTGTTTCTAGATATTAACATGCTGCAAACATAATTTAGAAAGCACCAGAAATATCACACAGATCCCAGGTTCTTTAACTTCTTAAAAAGGTATTTCTGACAGGTTTTCAAGTTTTTATGAACTTCAAATTAATGTACAGAATACAGGCATTAAAAAATAACTTTCAGAGACACATATATTCCAAGTAGGCCCTTCAGTACGCTTCAGCATTGAACACTGGGGCAGGAATCCATCTCTTCAATGGTTCAAGTAGTCAATTTTTTCTCAATGGTTTCTTGGTAAGCGACAAACCTTCTCAAATTCATCTTCACATTATCGAGAACACACAGCTGATCTGATGTGTATTTACTTCTCCCTTCCTTTCGTATCTGCAGAAAAAAAAAATCGTATGTGATTTGGTATGTAGTAATAATTCCTTTAAATAAGAAAGCATTTAATTTGGGCATGTATTTATTTTCAGAACAAACAGCTGCTAGAATTTAGTGAGACATTTTCACCTACAAGGTAATGGAACACAGTACGGAGGCCATCAAGATACATTAAGACTGTGTACCTTATAAATGAATTACAAAAATGACTGAATTGTAGACTTTACAAAAATGAGTGTTATGGTATGTGAACTATACCTCACCTCTAGTCCAGAGCAGTGATCTCAGATTTTAGAGTGCAACAGCGTCATCTTGGCAGGCCTGTTAAAAACAGAGTAGTGGGCCTATCCCACTTCTGGTTCTCAGTAGGTGTGGAGTTGGGCCCAAGGATCTGCATTTCTAGCAAGTTACCAGATGGTGCTGCTGATACAGGGGGAGCCACTGCTCTAGAGAAGTTCTTTGGTAAAATGCATTGTACTGTGTTTAAATGCAGTTTGGGGTTAAATATATACCAAACAGCCTTTAATGCAACTGTGGCTTTATTCACAAAGGTGTTTCATAGCAAAAACTATAGGCTGCCCTTCTGGCTAACAAAGAAATTTCATTAAGGTTTTATACCTTTAAGAAAAGAAAACTATTTAATTAAATATCATTACCATAGCAATACATATTAAGTAGGACAATCAATTACAACAACAGACCTTCCAGGGTTAGGAGCTGTTTTCCTGGTTCTCAGTTTACGTAAGTCCTCTCTAAGCATTTGTTCCTGCAGAGTTTGATGACTCCTAACTACATCTGCTTGCCTTGTAGCTGCAAGGAAATAGGGGATATTTGCTCCTTACTTTACAAACTCCTTTTTCAGAACTATAAAGGGTCTGTAATATTTAAGAATAATGTAGACACCCTCCATGTACTAGTATAGAAATATCTCTAGAAGATAATGTTAGCAAAAACACACAAAGTACATGACTATGAATATATCATGTACCTTTTAGATAATAAAGGGAAAAAATACTAACTGCTTACCTATGAGGGAGGGAATAGGTGACAAGAAGACCTTTTACTGCTTAAAAAGACAAACACTGGGGAGATGGGGGGTGGGTGGGCAAAATGGGTGAAGGTTGCCAAAAGGTACAAACTCGCTGTTATAAAGTGAAGTCCTGGGGCTGTAATGCACAGCATGGTGACTAGTTAACAACACTGCATTCTATATATGAAAGTTACTAAGAGAGTAGATCTGAACAGTTCTCATCATAAGAAAAAAAATTTTTCACTATGTGTGGTGACAGATGTTAATTTATTGTGATCATCTCACAATATATATATCAAATTATTGTTGTACACCTAAAACTAATATAATGCTATGTCAATTATATCTAAAAAAAAAACTACGCACTTGAACAAAGCATACTTAAGAATAAATTGTTCAATCCACTCTCCACCTGCCCCCACCAGTGTAGTCACCTAAATGTTAGTCACATTTTAAAATGTAAGATGCCAAAATATGAAGATGCTAAAAATAAAGTGATAATACTGTTCTTAAACCAACACTGACTTCAGATAAAACAATGACATGGAATGTGCACATTGTATATTGGTATTTTTCTTTTCTTCTGTAAAAGAAAACTACTTTTTATGCCTTAAGTTTTTTCAGAAAATTTAAATTTCTAGACACACAATCATATTCACCTAAAAACTCAATGGCAGCATTCCCTCCATGAGAATGGAATTCTGCATTAGATGCTTGTTAGACAGATGAAATACATACTGGAAAGCAACAAAAACAAGCAATTTTTCATTGAAACTTCTCTTGACAGAGATTTAAAAGCAAATCTTTTTTCACTTTAAAATCTGAAAGTGAAAACTACAAATAATTTTATTTCTCAAAATGACATAATTTACAAATGGAGATTTAAACAGGAGAACAGTAAACTCACGGACATGTGATGTAAGACTGTTTTTGAAATTCCTGGTTGCTTTTCACCCTGCCACCAAAAGTCTTTGAAAAAATTTTTTGACTCAGAGTTAGCTTTGATGCTCCTGATGAAACAAGCAATCAATAAAAGGGCAGAAGCAGGTAGCTACATTCTCCAATACAGACCGGCCTCGAGTGTGCCTTTTTTTCAGAGCACCAAAGGAAATATTCCTAACAATGAAATCAACCTATAATGCATTATGTAATATAAAATAAATTTAAACTGTATAGGAAAGTAGTTTGTAGGATAGATGGTAGTGCTTATACAGAAGCACTGTTAACATTACTAAAGTGCTATGGAAAGAGGAACTTGTCAACATCATTTTGGCTCAAGTCAGTGATTCAACAGAAAGGGTGACTGGGCTCTGACGCAGCCAGCCATCATAACATGGGACTGGAGGTAAAGTGCTCTATGGACCACTGAGACTGCAGGGAGGGAATACACCCTCTTCCCAAAGAATATTGAGACTTTTTAAATAAAATGGCTACATACCTTCGTTTTAAAGACTGGCTGAAATTCTTTTAGAGCAGATAACAATTTAATTTGAACTGAGGCCCTTTCAGCTTCTTTACCATCTGCAAAAACAACAAAGAGGGCATCCAAAGCTTCTCCTGCTACTACAAGGGAGGGATCTTTGGTGGCAACCTCAAGGAGAAAGCATCCAATGGTCTGGAGACAACGAAACACACTACTATCACTCAAGAGTCGAATTTCCAAAATAAGTACTTAATTTAAATGTGGCAACAATTCATTCATAATATTTTATATAAAAATACCAGGGAAAATTAAAACTCTTAAAAGATTTAACATATACAAATAAATATACCAAGTATAATATAAACATGATAAACATATTAGAGTTTATATTTCTAACTAAAATGAATTAAGACCTACAAATGATATGAAGATTAATTTTGGAAGTTATTAAATTTTACTATCTCCCTCCGAAAGACTTTTCCCATGGTGTCAAATGCATATAAATACTGTCTAATAAAAACAAAAACAAAAATATGCTTTTTAAGTTATAGGAAAACCATTAAGACAATTTAAAAAATAACACAATCTCGCCCTCTCAAAAAAAAAAAAAGAAATGAGATGAATGCTACTGATAAGAATGGAATTAACTTTCCTTAATGGATATATTCAGGATTTCTGTTTACTTTTTAAAAATATATCAAAATATTTATATATTTCTTGAGATAATTTTGATAGTTGGAAACTTTCAAGGAATTTGTACATTTTATATAGTTTGTTCAAGTTAATATCATAAATATAGTCACTTTTTTCATTTTAAAACTTGTAAGAATGCTAGTGATGCCCTCTCAATTCTAACATCAATAATTTACACTAAGTTTTTTAGCTTTTTAAAAAATTTATCAACCTAAATAAAAGTAATTTATTTTATTATGACTTTTTAAAAAAAAATAGGCTTTGTATTAGACATTTTTGCCCACCTGTAGGCTAATGTAAGTGTTCTGAGCACATTTAGGACAAGCTAGGCTAAGCTTGATGTTCGGTATGTTAGGTATATTAAATGCATCTTGACTTAGAATATTTCCAACTTACAATGAGTTGATTGGGACTTAACCCCATTGTAAGTTGAGGAAGATGTATACTATACCCAGAGACTCTTTATTTCTTAATTTTTTGTTGTGAAATAATAAATTTCCATATTGCTAAAAAAAAAACAACACAATCTCATTTTCCTTCACTGTAATGATTTTTAGCATCTACCCATATTTTCACAGTTAGCAAGCTAACGAACAGAACAAATCTGCGAAGAATTGTTCAAGAATAAGCTTGTTTTGTCTTGGCTGTTCTGCTTTACTCTTTGTGCCTTAAGGTTGATGTGCACATCTGGTACTAGGGGTTGAGGGTGGAAATGCTAAGAACACCAAGTCCAAGCTCCCTCTTCATCATAAAAAACAGGATGACTCTTGAACAGTCTGTTACACTCTCTGTGCCTCAAACTTTATCATCTGAATTGAAGTGGCCTAGATAACCTCTGAGACAGTAGTTAGATTTAATATCCAAGATATATGAAGCACACAGCACCACCTTTCAGGCACTTTGTAAAAAGATTAATGTGAACCAAACCTAGCCTTTATATCTAGCTTCCAGTTTTCAGGAAATACAGAGAGTAAAGGAAGAAGCTTAACACCACAGGAAGCGATCAGACAAATCCAGAAGGTTGGACACCATGAGAAGATCGACCCAGGACCTGAGGAAGAACTGTGTATATATGTATATAAGTGGTGGCTGGTGCTGGGGAGAACTGTTCCAGATTAAAACCGGCTTAGAAGACCCCAAAACTCGACACAACATGTAGGGTTGACTTAGATCCTAGTTTAACAAACTATCTGCAAATAGATACTTTGGGAACAACTGGAAAATTTTGAATATGGACCTGGTGTTAGACATATTAAGAAATGACTGTTAACTGAATAAAGAAGGGTAATAAAGTTATAGAAGAAACTCTCTATTTTTAAGACATGCTTACTGAACCAATAGGAGTGAAATACCATGATATCTTCAATTTACTTTAACACACCCAGCAAAGAAACTATATTTAGTACCTATGATAGGATACTAATAATTGTTACAATATGCTTGATGGGTATGCAATATTTACTATACTTTCTCTGTAGTTTTCTTCATGCTTAGAAATGCCACTACATAAAAACATTTAAAAACATCTTATGTCTGAGAAAAACTTGCTGTTCCTCTAAACGAACCTTGGAAATTATACTTTTAAAGGGAAGTGGTTATACATATACACGCCCATTTGTGTATGTGTACACAAACATAGCCACATAGCCATACTCTCTCTAATGTGCCCATATATCAAAAATTATCAAAAATCCCTGGAGTGATACAGAAGTTGGCTAACAGTTATTCTTCCCCTATTTCTAATGATTTAACATTTTAGGTCAGAAGCATATTGTTTTACCTTAAGAGTTTCAAATGTACCTTCTTCTTTGCTTAGGACACTTCCAGTAATTCCTAAAATACTAACAACATTTACTCTAACATTGATATTACTACTATGAATGCCTGCTTTACACAGGGTCATCAGCTGATCAGGAGTCATGCACTGTTGAAAGAAAAGAAGACAATGTACAGTGTTAAACTTGACCAATTTCAATAGCATGTATAACAGGATTGACAGCAATCTCTTCTACAGGCTCCATGACTCTCAATGACATAAACTCTTGGCAGAGAAGTTATTACACATTCTAATTACTCCTAAATATAGATGATAGTTCTGAATCAAGATGAGGCCTATGCAAGTCCCTGTCATTATTCAATCTATCATAGGTGCAAGCCTATAAAAAGGGATTCAGTTCCTATTAGTTTTATTTGAAGAAAATTTTCAGAGGTACACAGGCTAAAGAGACTCTAGTTTTTTAACACTGATCAATGTTTTGAAAATGTAAATAGGATCATGTACCTTTACTAAAAATTGGCTGAATCTATACAAAGTAAGAACTTACCTTGAGATGTGTAAATTATTATTAAGGGTTACAAAAACCATTAAATTACATAGCGATAATTTTCATTTAAAGCTAATTTGAACACATACATTGACAAAAGTATCATAAAAGTTGTGTTGCCAGGTTATCTCCTATAAGAAGCAACACAAGGTGTGGTGATTAAGGGCTTGGGATTTTTAATCTGACATCCTGAGTTCAAATCCTAGCTTTGCCATTTACTGATTGGCAATCTAGTACAAGGTACTTACCCTACTAAATTTGCCATTTCCTTACCATTAACACTGGGACAAAAATCCTCACACAGAGTTGCAATAAGGATTAATTAATGCATGTAAGCATTCACTAAATATTAGCTCTTGTTATATATAAAAATACTAAACAGTTCTTAATCATCAAACTCATTTCAAAATCATTTGCAATGCTTCTGCCAAATTTAAAGGTAACTTAATATGCCCAGGTTTCTAGGAAATTCTCTAATGAAAAGAATTCCACCAACTACAGAATTTTTTATGCTAGGACAAGGCTGTTCATGCTGCATTACCACAAGCATGACTCACAAGCTTAAGTTGCCCAATGCATACAAACCTATAAGGTAAAGAATTAGGCAGGGAAGAAGGACAGTTCATTCCAGTTTTGGTGCTGTCACTCAGCAAATTTAGTCCTTGGTTTCCTCTCCTTATAAAGCATGAGAAAATAAGATCCCTCTAGTTCCAAAATTCTATGCTCATGCCCAGTACACAGCCAACCCGAGAATTTATGATCTTAATATATATGGATGACTTACCATTAACTAAGCATGAACTCAAGCAATTTTACTTAAACATCTGACTAACCCAGTAGTTACTGCTGGATATTACAGAAAATAAATAAAAATACTTTATAGTCCTATAGGCCACACCATATAGGATTTTCTGATATTCTCAAGAGCCATATGGCAGGCCAGGTATTATTACCATTTCCATTTCATAGAAATAGAGGCTCAAAAGTTATGTTCTTGAAAAACATTCTCAAATATACAAAGAAAATAAATTTCAAGTAAAGAGTATATATTAGAAGCCAAGAGCATATATTTAATACTAGATCCCAGAGACATTCCCACTAAACTCTGGAACAAGATGAAGTTTGGGAAGCACTGCTCTACAGGTATGGCCACGGAACACCTACGGAAGAAAGAAAGGCAAGACTACTAGAAAAAAGGAGAGCCAGGAACGAGGCCAGGTCACTGCCAAGAGCATTGCTGTGGTACTGAAATTACCTAGAATTATGACAGGCCTGGTGAAAGGTGACAGAGCCCCACAGCAGGAATCTTCAGGGAATGAGGTGCCCATGAGGATGGCAGATGATGGTAGCCAAGAGAAGAAGGTGGCATGGTCTAATGACATGTTAGTAAAAACTGGACGATTTTAGAAAGGAAGGATCAAGGATGGTTCAGAATAGTGATTCTCAAACTTTTATGTGCATGAGAATCACTAGGGGAACTTGTTAATACATAGGTTGCTGGTCCTGTCCCCAAAGTTTCTGCTGCAGTAGACAGGAGCTCTAGGATTTGTCCTTATTTACAAAGAAGAAAAAGACTACCACTCCAAAAGCAAAACTGGCAAAAGACAGAAACAGTCACAGGAAAGAAGAGCAAAGCCCTTAAGATAAATTAAAGTGGACACTAATAAATGGAAATTCATCCCATGTTCTTGGGTAGGAAGAATTAATATTGTCAAAATGGCCATCCTGCCTAAAGCAATCTACAGACTCAACGCAATCCCTATCAAAATACCAACAGCATTCTTCAATGAACTGGAACAAATAGTTCTAAAATCCATATGGAACCACAAAAGACCCGGAATAGCCAAAGCAATCTTGAGAAGGAAGAATAAAGCTGGGGGGATGTCGCTTCGCAACTTCAAGCTCTACTACAAAGTCACAGTAATCAAGACAATTTGGTACTGGCACAAGAACAGACCCATAGACCAGTGGAACAGAATAGAGAGTCCAGATATTAACCCAAGCATATATGGTCAGTTAATATATGATAAAGGAGCCATGGATATACAATGGGGAAATGACAGCCTCTTCAACAGCTGGTGTTGGCAAA